ATGTATACATATATGTGTATGTATATATACATATATATATGTATATATGTGTACATATGTGTATGTATATATGTATACATATATGTATATATATACATATACATATATGTATGCATATATGTATATGTGTATGTACATATATATATGTATATATACATGTGTATATGTACATATGTACATATATATATATATACATATGTATATATACATATGTATGTATGCATATGTATATATAATATACATATGTATATATACATGTATGTTATATAACATATGTATATATACATATGTATATATACATATGTATATACATATATATTATGTATGCGTATATATATACATATATGTATATATACATATATATATGTACATATATGTATATATGTACATATGTATATATACATATATATATGTACATGTGTATATATACATATATATATATATATTCTAGGTAGTAGGTTGGTAGACAGCAACCACCCAGGGAGGTACTACCGTCCTGCCAAGTGAGTGTAAAACGAAAGCCTGCAATTGTTTTACATGATGGTAGGAATGCTGGTGTCTTTTGTCTATCTCATAAATATGCAAGACTACAGGTACGTCTTGCTACTTCTACTTACACTTAGGTCACACTACTCATACATGTACAAGCATATATACACACACCTCTCTGGTTTTTCTTATATTTTCTTTCTAGTTCTTGTTCTTGTCTATTTCCTCTTACCTCCATGGGAAAGTGGAACAGAATTCTTCCCCCGTAAGCCATGCGTGTTGTAAGAGGCGACTAAAATGCCGGGAGCAAGAGGCTAGTAACCTCTTCTCCTGTATATGTTACTAAATGTAAAAAGAGAAACTTTTGTTTTTCTTTTTTGGGCCACCCTGCCTTGGTGGGATAAGGCCGGTTTGTTGAAAGAAGAAAAGATATATATATATATATATATAGATATATATATATATATATATATAGATATATATATATATATAAAAGATATATATATATATATATATATATATATATATAATATATATATATATATAGATATATAGATATATATATAATATATATATATATAATATATATATATATATATATATATATATATATTATATATATATATATAATATATATGCAATAAGATCACAGTAAACAGGTGATTTCAAAATATGCAAAACAACCACTCTGAAAGAATAGAGAAATTCCAAGCGCTTTCGTGACTACTCACATTATCAAGGAACTATGTTCCTTGATAATGTGAGTAGTCACGAAAGCGCTTGGAATTTCTCTATTCTTTCAGAGTGGTTGTTTTGCATATATATATATATATATATATATATATATATATATATATATATATATATATATATATATATATATATATATATATATATGATTATATACACCTGGAAAATCCTAGAGGGACTAGTACCGAACTTGCACACGAAAATCACTCACTACGAAAGCAAAAGACTTGGCAGACGATGCACCATCCCCCCAATGAAAAGCAGGGGTGTCACTAGCACGTTAAGAGACCATACAATAAGTGTCAGGGGCCCGAGACTGTTCAACTGCCTCCCAGCACACATAAGGGGGATTACCAACAGACCCCTGGCAGTCTTCAAGCTGGCACTGGACAAGCACCTAAAGTCAGTTCCTGATCAGCCGGGCTGTGGCTCGTACGTTGGTTTGGGTGCAGCCAGCAGCAACAGCCTGGTTGATCAGGCGCTGATCCACCAGGAGGCCTGGTCACGTAAGTTTGGGGTGCCAGGTGTAAATGATAATGGGAGCCCTTTGATTGAACTTTGTATAGAAAGGGGTTTAGTTATAGGTAATACATATTTTAAGAAAAAGAGGATAAATAAGTATACATGATATGATGTAGGGAGAAATGACAGTAGTTTGTTGGATTATGTATTGGTAGATAAAAGACTGTTGAGTAGACTTCAGGATGTACATGTTTATAGAGGGGCCACAGATATATCAGATCACTTTCTAGTTGTAGCTACACTGAGAGTAAAAGGTAGATGGGATACAAGGAGAATAGAAGCATCAGGGAAGAGCGAGGTGAAGGTTTATAAACTAAAAGAGGAGGCAGTTAGGGTAAGATATAAACAGCTATTGGAGGATAGATGGGCTAATGAGAGCATAGGCAATGCTGTCGAAGAGGTATGGGGAAGGTTTAAAAATGTAGTGTTAGAGTGTTCAGCAGAAGTTTGTGGTTACAGGAAAGTGGGTGCGGGAGGGAAGAGGAGCGATTGGTGGAATGATGATGTAAGGAGAGTAATAAGGGAGAAAAAGTTAGCATATGAGAAGTTTTTACAAAGTAGAAGTGATGCAAGGAGGGAAGAGTATATGGAGAAAAAGAGAGAGGTTAAGAGAGTGGTGAAGCAATGTAAAAAGAAAGCAAATGAGAGAATGGGTGAGATGCTATCAACAAATTTTGTTGAAGATAAGATAAGATAAGATTTCGTTCGGATTTTTAACCCCAGAGGGTTAGCCACCCAGGATAACCCAAGAAAGTCAGTGCGTCATCGAGGACTGTCTAACTTATTTCCATTGGGGTGCTTAATCTTGTCCCCCAGGATGCGACCCACACCAGTCGACTAACACCCAGGTACCTATTTGCTGCTAGGTGAACAGGACAACAGGTGTAAGGAAACGTGTCGAAACGTTTCCACCCGCCGGGAATCGAACCCGGGCCCTCCGCGTGTGAAGAGGGAGCTTTAGCCACCAGGCCACCGGAGTGAGATTAACAAGTTAAGGAAGCCTAGAGAACAAATGGATTTGTCAGTTAAAAATAGGAGAGGAGAGTTATTAAATGGAGAGTTAGAGGTATTGGGAAGATGGAGGGAATATTTTGAGGAATTGTTAAATGTTGATGAAGATAGGGAAGCTGTGATTTCGTGTATAAGGCAAGGAGGAATAACATCTTGTAGGAGTGAGGAAGAGCCAGTTGTGAGTGTGGGGGAAGTTCATGAGGCAGTAGGTAAAATGAAAGGGGGTAAGGCAGCCGGGATTGATGGGATAAAGATAGAAATGTTAAAAGCAGGTGGGGATATAGTTTTGGAGTGGTTGGTGCAATTATTTAATAAATGTATGGAAGAGGGTAAGGTACCTAGGGATTGGCAGAGAGCATGCATAGTTCCTTTGTATAAAGGCAGGCCGGACTTGAGTCCTGGAGATGGGAAGTACAGTGCCTGCACTCTGAAAGAGGGGTGTTAATGTTGCAGTTTAAAAACTGTAGTGTAAAGCACCCTTTTGGCAAGACAGTGATGGAGTGAATGATGGTGAAAGTTTTTCTTTTTCGGGCCACCCTGCCTTGGTGGGAATCGGCCAGTGTGATAATATATAATATATATTATATATATATATATATATATATATATATATATATATATATATTATATATATATATATATATGCAACAAGATCACAGTAAACAGGTGATTTCAGAATATGCAAAACAACCACTCTGACAGAATAGAGAAATTCCAAGCGCTTTCGTGACTACTCACATTATCAGTTCCTTGATAATGTGAGTAGTCACGAAAGCGCTTGGAATTTCTCTATTCTTTCAGAGTGGTTGTTTTGCATATATATATTATATATATAATATATATATATATATATATATATATATATATATATATATATATATATATATATAATATATATATATTATATATATATATATATATGTCGTGCCGAATAGGTAGAACTTGCGATCTTGGCTTAAATAGCAACGTTCATCTTGCCATATAGGAAAAGTAAAAATTTGTGTATGCAATAATTTCGCCAAAATCATTCTTAACCCAACGAAAAAAATATATTTCACTGTGTTCGTTTAGTATTAAATTATTGTAAACAAATCTAGAATATATTTAGTTGGGTTAGGCTAAAAGGTTTCTCCAACACGTAAGTTATATTTTTCGTATCAAAATGAACACACATTAATTGTTAAATACTACTTGAGTAGTCCTATTCATGAGCTAATCCAAAAATCACCGACCGGTTTCTTTAAAAAAAAAAGTAAGTAAATTGTTCTTGTTATAATAAGGTTAGGTAAGTTTTCTAAAATTCTTTTGGTGCAAAATTATAATTTTTTACACCAACATTAATGAAAAAAAATATACCTTTAAACGTATAAAATAAAATTTTGGAAAGGACTTAATTTTAAAAGAGTTCTTGCTAATTGACCAGTCTTACATATTCGCCACGACATATATATATATATATATATATATATATATATATATATATATATATATATATATATATATATATATATATATATATATATATATATATATATATATAATATCCAGACATATATACATATGTAATAAGATCACAGTAAACAGGTAAAATCATAATATACAAAATAAGTACTGTGAAAAAAATAGTTAATTTAAAGCGCTTTCGTGATTTACCACATTATCAAGGAACTGCAAAAATAACAGGACAGCAAAAGGCTTATATAGCTGAGATGTCACCTCACATATGACCTGACTCAGCACGCTGACCGTGAGGATGAAGTTAAAATTTTGCCAGCTCACATGTCAAGTGAAATTTATTAGCGACATGTCATGCATAGCTTAAATTCCTTACAAATTGTATTAATTATAAATGAATCTGATTTAAATAACCCTGATATATATGAACGGGCTACACACCAACAAAGTTGATCGACATCATGCCTAACCCTTCTAGGGTAGGGTAGGTGCCTGAGCCCGAGCCTTTAGCTCATAAGACTGTCATTCCCATTTGCCTCCTTGGGGCGGGGATGGCAGACCAGAGAGGCCTAGCTTGTGGCTAGGCCTGGGGACAGTTGGTCCCAAAGATGAGGAGGTACTTGTGCCTCCTCCCATGGGAGACTTAGGTCTCAGACACTCCCTAAAGAGGGAGCCAAGGCCGGGCCACCACTTGGAAAAGGCCCGGGCCGGGGGAATACCGGCTAATCTTTAATAATAATAACCAACAAAGTTACTGTTTATGGTAAACTTACTCTCGTCCCGCTCCATTGTGAGTGTTGGATGAAATATTCTCTCATATGACTGACCACTCTCACCCTCCTTCACACCACAACACACACCACCTGTTATCTTGCCTCACTATATGTAGCCCTCCGGGACTTATCGATGTTATCTGACACAAAAGCCCTGATTATGAAAAACAATTATTATTTCGTAAAGTCCTGAAACAAAGCCTTTAAAACTAGAGATTTACTGTACTCTAGACAAATAAAAATGTTACCTCACGCCAAGTATATGTAGCAATAGTTTTTCTTATTAGTTTATGTGCTGTATACAGTTCAGTAAGGAATACAGTGTAAGAAACAACTTTGGGTGAATGAATATTCTGAAATATATTAGGAACAGTTGTGCAATGTTAGGCCCCAATGGAAATAAGTCACTTTTTTAATAATAATATTTGTATTTCTACAAGTACAAAGTATACAGGCCTAGCTGACATCAGTGACATACTACTATACAGAAAAACTCTTGTTATGCACAGCATTCCGGGCAAATTAGGTCAGTTTTGTCCCAGGATGCGACCCACACCAATCACTAACACTCAGGTACCCATTTTAACTGATGGGTGAACAGGGACAACCGGTTTAAGGAAACACGCCCAATGTTTCAACCCTCGCCGGGAATCGAACCCGGACACTCACTGTATGAAGCGAGAGCTTTTGCCACCCGGCTACGGGCCACTTTAACGTTGTAAGGTTATCCTAGGTGATTTACACTATGTATGATAATTGAACTTATGTGTTTGTATGTTTACTTAACAATAATGTACAAGCTGAAGCTTGCCGTGTAATTTCTTATTTTTCTTTTCTTCTTTTCCTCATTCGTTGTCTTTCTTACTCTTGTTATTCTTCTTTTCCTTCTTTTTCTTCATGATACGCAATATTTACCAAGAGTTTATCCTTTTAAATTTCACCTTTTTTTACTATCAGTGTCAGGGGCCCGAGACTGTTCAACTGCCTCCCAGCACACATAAGGGGGATTACCAACAGACCCCTGGCAGTCTTCAAGCTGGCACTGGACAAGCACCTAAAGTCAGTTCCTGATCAGCCGGGCTGTGGCTCGTACGTTGGTTTGCGTGCAGCCAGCAGCAACAGCCTGGTTGATCAGGCTCTGATCCACCAGGAGGCCTGGTCACAGACCGGGCCGCGGGGGCGTTGACCCCCGGAACTCTCTCCAGGTAAACTCCAGGTAATCCTTTCTGGTAGCCTTAATGATGGATAGAAAGTTTGCTGCGACTTGTACAATGTTTTGCCAGATTAGATTGTCCCATGTGAAATTTTAACTTCATTACAGTCTTGACTTTGAAATCTTAGGTTGGTAGATTGCTCTATTAGATCTAAATGGATTGTGAAAATGTGCAATTACATTAAGCTATATAACCTGCATGAACTGTATCACTGTAGACAACAAGAGCATTTCACCCCTCTGGAAGATGTGTTCATTTAATATCACATACCTGCAAGTCCCTCCCAAGAAGCTCATTGCTAGTAATCCCTTCCCTAAATCACTTTAACAAGTGATTTAGGGAAGAAATTTCTCACCTAGCTGGTAGTAATAAGTTATCACAAGTTATATACACTGATGGATCTAAACAAGAGTCTTCTGGCAGGGCTGCATCTGCTCTTGTTGCCACCTCCCTAGTTAAGAACGATAATAAATTTGTAAAGTAAAAGGACACAAGTGCAACTAATGTGACATTTATTGTGGCAACGTTTCGCTCTCCAGGAGCTTTATCAAGCTTGATAAAGCTCCTGGAGAGCGAAACGTTGCCACAATAAATGTCACATTAGTTGCACTTGTGTCCTTTTACTTTACATATTGTCGGTAATTCTACCAACTTTATTACGATAATAAATTTGTTGAGTTAGGCATAAGAATTAACAACTGGGCGTCTACACTGCAAACTGAATTGTTTACAATCCTAATGGCGCTAAAGCTAACTTATGACACTGAGCTTGACTCTATCATCATTACTGATTCTATTTCATCACTGAATGCTCTTGACTCATATGACTCCAACAACCTGCTCATTGGAGAAGCCAGATATAAATACTCAAAAATCCGGGACAAAGGAATTAATGTACAATTGCTATGGATCCCATCACATATTGGATTACTCCTTCATGATAAAGTTGATATGTTAGCCAAGAAGAGTACCCAGAAGGAAAATGTAGAATATAACTTTGGTATATCTGTGTTTAGCATTAGGAATAATATTAGGAGAGAAGTAAATAGTGAAAGTGATTGTTATAGGAATGCAGTTAGAAGCCTGAGTAGATCTATAACCAACTATGATAACATGAACGTAGATAAGTATGTTTATGGAGCAACTTGCAATGTGAACAGACTGACTGATGTTGTAGTGGCCAGGCTTAGGCTTGGTTACAAGTACTTCTGGCAGTCTGGGGGAGACACAGATGATGATTAAGCTAAATTCAATTTATGTGGTCAGGCATATGGTCACTGTCTTGAACACTATGTGCTTAACTGTCCACTTACTGAGGAATACGGAGACAGTATAATAAACTATGTGACATATCAAGATATCTTATTAATGAAAATAAGATACCAGATATACTAAGGAAATTTCTTAAAATTGCTTGTAACAGATAAGTGAACTGTAGATATAAACCCATATGTACACCTGGGGCGTTTTGTGTATCCATATGCTCTTGCGCTACCGTCCTAAGGATGGATATGAGGTGCACAATAAACTAGCCACTTTGGTGGCAAAATCTAAATCTAATCCATATTTTTATTATTTTTTGGCAGAAGAAAAGTTTTCCTTATTTGTCATCCACTTTTATACAAATACTATATTGCCCCTAAAAATGTATGCACAGTTGCTACAGTTTTGCGAAAAGCAAATAATATGAATATAATCTGTTGATTTCCTTTATGTTGGTAGAGTTCCTAATGAAGTGGTTGTTATTTGGACTATCCAGTTTTTTAAGTTTTTTTTTGGTCGGGTGGTTGGCTGGCTGTTAGTTGATTGGTTGGCCAGTTGGTTGGTTAGTTGGTTAGTGCATGGTCGGTTGTTTGGCAAGTTGTTGGTTGATTGATTGATTGGTTGGTTGGTTGGTTGACCGGTTAGTTGGTCAATTAGTTGGTTGGTTAGGTTTTTGTTGATTGGTTGTTTTTCTGTTTATTGGTAGGTTGATTGGCTTGCTAGGTCTAAGCCCATCGACTGCAAAAGTGTCACAAAGTATCAACTGCACACTACCAGTCAAGAACACCTGTCCCCAAATACGTATTGGATCATAGCAATGTACCAGTGAATTTACAAGACTATGATGAGCCTTGTTGTCTGGTTTGAAGAGCTACCAGTCCTGTAATCCTCATCGCATGGTTTGAAATGGTGTACCATCAACAACCACCTAAGTCACAGAACAAAAGGGACAACGTTTCGCCCTCTGTAGGACTTCATCAAGTCGACTCAAAGCTAGACGTTTGGTTAAGTCGGACCGAAACGTCGTCATAACTTTCATTCTCCTAAGTGTGGGTTTTTGTGTATTCCACTGCTGACCTTGCTACTGGCAAGACAGTCGCTCTACACTCAAGAAGACTCCCTTCGACTCCCGCTGGGGAGGGGAATTTATATTCTACAAAGGCCACCTCCTTTCTCACAATGCTGTCGCATCGTTTGAAAATCAGACCAGTCTCCTGCCCAAGCAACTGCTCCTTCATTCATTCATTCATTAGAGATTTGCCGGTACTTCCGGCCCGGGTCTTCTCCAGATGGTGACCCGGCGGTGGCCCTCGGGGCGGGGGTGTCGTTCGTCTTCTTCATTCTTCTATCTTCTCTCTTGGGCCCTCCGGTTGGAGGGTAACTTCTTCTATCTTGCATTGACTCCCCCAGTGGGGAGTGTCTTCTCGCTTGGGATCTTCAGTGTCACAGTTGGGCAGAGGCAGAAAACAGGGTCCCATTGGAGCCACAGCCCAGCTTTAGCAGACAGCAAAGTGCTGGGGAAACTTGTCTTGATAGTAGTTCTAGAAGGGACTACCCTCTGCACAAGCCTGATTCAGCCTGTTCTTCAGTGCTTCGTGGTCGATTCCAGCGTTGCGGAGGGTGGTGTAGATACTGTTGGCCAGGAGTTCCAAGTTGGGTGACAAAATGTCGTTGGTGTCTTGCTCACATTCTGGAGTTCGCATTTGGTTCTTCTTCTGGTTGGTTGTGCATTATTATAATCATGAGGAAGCGCTAAACCCATAGGATCATACAGCACTCTTGGGGGGGGGAATGGAAGGTATTCAGGCTTAATTCAGGGAACTGGAGCACAGATCCAATTCCCTAGATCAAGAGCCCCTCACCAGCGTCAAGGAACCTTCCTTGAGGGAAGTTGGTTGTGCAGTATCCACCATTCTTGACCTTGGCTTCTTGTTATGGTGGGGGATTGGTAGTGGCCTGGGGCGCTGCAACCCTTGGTTCTTGAGTTTTGGCAGTCTTGACCTTGGCTCCTTGTTGCGGTGGAGCAGTAGTAGCGGTATGGGGAGTTGCAGCCCTTGGTTCTTGAGTTTTAGCTTTCTTGGCTGGCGGTTGAAGTGTCAGAGGCAAGGCAAGGCAAGGCAAGGGATAGTTGCGGTGGCGGTGGAGGCAGGCGGTGGTGGACTCTCGTTGGTGGGATTTGCCGACGTATCAGTGGTCTCAGATTGGTCCATCTCTATGTCGAGTGGAGGTTGTGTAAGTGGTGGAACAGCAGTTATGCTGGCAATATTTGCAGTGGTTTGTAGGATCTCACTGGAAGGTGGTGATGCAGGGAATGTGAGTCCAGGCATGTTGTTTAGTTTGAATAGTTCGTTGATGGTGGTGTTGAAGGAGCCGGGCTCAGCTGCATTCTGTACATGAGAATACATGATGCAACATAGAATCTTGGTGGGGTCGGCAGCAGGTGCTGTGAGGAAAGTGGTAGGAGCAGCTTGCGTGGCTTGTAGTATCTTGGTAGTGTCTGCTTGAATCTTGGCAATAGCAGAATATGTGGGTGCTTGTGGTTTGGACTTCTTTTGTTGTTGTTGTTTCTTGAGTATGTCCCTTCTGATAGGGCACCTGGCGGCAAGAGTATGGTGGCCATCCTTGCAGTTCAAGCATTGCGGTGGGGAAGCAGTAGTG